AATTGGCTGTTACATTTACGTACATCAAATGCTTTTCAAGATAATAGCATCTGGCTTCAGAATCTGAAAAACAAATTATATTTGGTAATAAAGGCTGTAAGGATAACATGAAATCAATGTCTGTACTGTGAGCAGAGAGGAACGAGAGTATAGTATTTTTTTTAATCTAGCAGAATACCAGATATGATTTAAACACGAAACATCTAAACCATCATTCCTTAAGTGAAGAAAATTTGAAGCAGCACTGAACTTAGGCAAATTCATCAATTTCAAAGCACTTCCATAAGTCTAATTAATGAAAATTAAAAGATGTAGATATGATTAAACAAGCCAAGGGCTTACCATAAAATTTTGTATTTATACATATGTGAAATACTACAAGTTAGAGGAAAGGTTTCAAAAGGTAGAGAAATGCCTAAGAAGATAAAATGTTCATGTTCTTTCTTCTGAATCAAGGCTTTATTTAAATTAATGGAAAAAAAAATCCTAGGATTTCACCTTATGCATGTGTCCACTAGGTTCTTGTAATTACCAAAATGTATCTATAAGCCAGTAGACTAGTCAGTATTAAATTTCTGTGACAGTTCATAAAAAAAAGCATCATGCTTAACTCTGAAGCAAATACCAGACAAAATTTGATGTACTTTAGCTCATAGGTCATACATAGAAAAGAGATGCAGCCCGGAGTACAGAAAGCCATGTGTAGTGCTCCACCTCCTGAGTAGGGGGATTGAAAGAAATATTTATCTTTGGATGAGATCAAGCTCTTGTAATTAGAGTTGACTTCATTCCTAAGTTGTTCATATCAACAGACACCTTCTTCTATGTTTCTTCTGCAATGTTTCCCTCACTGTCTGTAATGAATTAGTGATAGATAATGATAATTCAGCCATTTTTATCAGTCTTGCAGACAGCGACTGGTACAAGCTTATTTGTATTTATTGTCTTATTTCTCCTCATGGTTCCATAGGACAGCCAGCTATATTTATATGTGTATTTTCTTTAAGCGATTCTGATACTGAAACTTCTTTCTGTTACTGGCACTAAAGTACTTCAATTTCTCCATTGCCAAAGCCTTGTTGATGTTTGTTCAAAAGCCAAACAAAATGCAGTGATTATGCTCAGTCACTGAGTCTAACGAGTCACACTTTGAAGCTAAAGAGTGGGCTACCTAAAGAACTCCTCCTATCTTCTCTTTCTGCCACAGATACCATACAAGTTACTGGGCTGGACGTCCTCACCTCCTTTCTTGTGACTAAAAGATGATTTAAGAAATTATCTGTTCTCATTTAAGAGTGCAAGAATATTGTACTGTCAAGATTATATTTATTTATGGCCAGTGAAGATAGGTAAAAGCCATTAACAAAGATGGGAAATCCTGCATGGTTATACTCCTGGATACTAGATTAACCCTATCAAAATTTACAATTTCCTTTGGATCCAGACAGGGGGCAGAAATTGAAATGAAAGGAGTTGGCTGCTGTCACAACACTTTCAGCTCTGTGATGTCTATTGTACTGCAGTAGCTTGTGTTTATTCAGCAAGCTCTTCAATAATGTATGGTCAGCTGAGGTGTGTGTTATAAATCTGGCAGGGGAGATGACCATCTCAGCTGTCAGGGCAAAAGAGTCTGAAACAGCAGGGATAGGAGGTGCTTTAATATCCAGATTGGCTGAGAAACTCATGCTGTCAGGGTTTCCCAGTGCAGCCTTACCATCACAATAATCACTCCTTTTTGTACCCATCAACAGTGCCAGAGAAGAAAAAAATTAGATGAAATCTAAAGTTTTCATGGGAGAGTTGAAAGAAGACTGAGGAATCAATCAGTCTTACATTTTATCTTCTACGTTATCACCTATGAGCTTCTTGAGCTTTTGACTCCTATTGACAATGCGATACTTACCAAAGGACTGAAAACAGTGGAAAGACATCAGAGTCACTTTCCTGTCATTGCTTTTATAACTCGATTGTTCTTTGAAGTCTACAGGGTAGTCTCACAGAGAAACGTCTTGCTTGAGGTGGCAGGTAGGTGAGGCTCAGCAGTGGGGGGAAGCCCCATACCCACCTCTCAGCTGGTGAGAGCCTGGGAAAACTGTCCTTCCCCAGCCTGCCACCTGAGATGGCACCACACAGTGACCCTTCCAAAGGATTCATCTGGGCAATCAATGGGGGAGAGTACCTACTTTTCACTCTGATTTTTATTTCGTAAAGGAGTAGTTTATCTACAGCAGTCCATAAACTCCATAATTAACAGAAAGGAAGCTAAAAGAATACAAAAATATAACATTTTTTTTTTTCTTCAGGCATCTGGAAAGATCTAACCATCCCCAAATAAAATTTCACTGTTCAGGCTGGCTTTGTAACGCAGTGACATGGCACATGCTCCAAAAACTGCAGAGGAAAATGCCACCCCTGCTCAGCACAGACAGCAAAACTCTCCAACCAAGAACTGAAAACTGCCATCTCAGATACCAACTTCTTCTTTAAATAATTTATTCTCTGTCACAGGAATTATATTAAAAATAAAGGATGGAATAAAATTATTCCCTGTTTGTTTTGTTTGTTTTTGTTTTCTGTCTTTATTTATTTGTTTGTTTTGTTTCTCATTTCAGAACAGTCACTGAAAAATCCTCAGGGACAAAACATATCATATTTTCTTTTCATATTCATACTTATTTATAGATCTGGCATAAAAACAAAACAAAATACACCTTAATTCTACCTCTCTGTTCATCAAGTGTTAAGCATGCTGGAGTTACTGACACACAAACATTGGCTATCAAAATTTTCTTCCATCTATATCATTTCTTGACAACAGGGAAATGTGGGTTTACCTAAAAAAAATAATCATAATTTTAAAACTAAAAATGATGTTGGTTCCACAACAGCACTAAATTTTCTTTACAATTTGAAATATTCTGCAGTTTTCTTTTATTTCTGTCCTTTCATTTTTGTTCATAATATATATGTGATATATGTAAGATATATATACATATTACAGAGAGAGGGAGGGAGAAGGGAAGTGAACTCTTGAGAGTGAGAGAAAGGGAAGAAGAGAGAAAAGGGGGAAAAACAGAACTATTATGAACATCCTTGGGTCTATTTAAAACTTTTTTTTTTTTCATTTGATAAGAAAATTCAACCTCACCTTAACTAAAAGCACATGAAGCAGACCTACATAAATGTGCACCCTGTGCATGTAGTTAGATATACTGATGTTATAACTCTAGCTCTAATAACGAATGGGCTCCTCTGCATGTGAAGAAATTTTGTTTCCCTTGATATTTTTCAGCAAGGAATTTCTTGCAGCATTCATCCAAATATCACAGGCAAATTTTGATTTTGATGGAAACTCCATAGGCAGAAGGTGAGAAATAAGACAAGAAGACTGCTCTCCTAAATCAGGAAGAACGATGGAGGAAATGAAATTTATGGTGAAGGGGCTACCTTGCTCTGTGTGCTCACAGGTGGCATGTTACCTAAGTTATGTCATTGAAAGGGTCAGTGGTGTAAAAGTCCACAGGAAGAATTACGCTAGCTATTCAGCAAGTGCAGGATATGGCCCAAAAAGAACATGGCTGTGATCTCCCCTGTTGCATTGGAAAGAATAATTATTAATAAAAATGATATCTCTGAGGTATTTTTGTTTAGCTTGCAGGTTTTTCAGACTGTTTTTAGATTTAAAACGAAGAGCTCTTGAGTAAGGATTACCTATCTGTGTCTGTATATTACAGATACTTGTCTGTACGTCAGTCAGTTCTTATTCAGTGCTTGGTAGATGTTCTTTAAATAAACGCCTTCATTTTGTGCCTATAAAATTTTAAGTATCTGAGAGATATATAATGAGAATGAGATTTCAAATAGACATTTCCATTTAATCCTAAATAGAATTATTTCCAAGTGAAAAGAAACAATGGCATTCTGCAACACAGCTATTGCTGAAAAATATTTCTACTGCCCTGGCCCTGACAGACTTCTGATATTTGCCAAGATGTTTTAGCACACATCTATCGGAGAAGGGGAAAAAATCTAAAAAGAAACCCATGTCATTCACATTAATGTCTTTAGAAACATAAACCTGTTTTATGTACAGAGGAAGGTAGTGTTGCTGAATCTCTGTCAACTCAGTTTAGAGCGGAAGGACAAGGCATTTGTAATATTTTTCTCTTGGAGTTAAATAGATTTTTGTTTGCAGACGTCAATGGCTTCTAAACAAAGCCACCATTGTAAACGCCCGCCCTCTACATTGCAGCTGCCTGCAGTGGCTTTCCTTTCTAGGAAACCACTTCCAATTATCTTCCACATTAATGAGCATTCCTTATTTCTGAGAAGTTGTAACCTAGAGGCTGAGGTAGCTGTTGTATTGTTATGGCAGAGCAACTGTGTATTGATGTCAAGCTTGTAGGTCCCTTATCAGTTGTCTGCCCCAGCGCACTCAGTCTAGGACAAACATTGTTGAGGCGACTTCATTTACAAAGGTCCCTGTAGTGCTCAGAAATCCCAGATGCTATCAGGGAGTATCAATAGACAGGAGTATAGCATAACCAACTGAAACCTCATAGCCCCATGTGTACCACGGGTGCTTTTGTGGCACTTAGACCTAAACGTCCCCATTGCACAGCATTGTAGTGCTGCCAGCAGCGGGGAACCCTTCCCCATCCTTCTCAGGGGGGCCTTAACTAAACTAACGTCCTTCTTATGAAATTAATTTCCAAATTTAAACTCTTGCTGACTACTACTGCAAAGCTGTGTGCTGATTCAGTGGCCAAGGGCAGTTTACCAAGACCTCATCAGCAAAAATTCTCTACCCAGCACGCAGACACAAGGCTACCAATATGACTGTGATGAGTACTACTCTGAAAGTATACTTTGTGCATTTCTCCAAAATATTTTTCATTACTAGTGAGAAGAACAAACTAGAACTTCCATGTAGTTTGTGAAATAAAATGATAAAAAAGTTTAATTTCATCAATCTTTTTTATATTTTGATTTAATGTGTTTTATAACACCACATACAAATATGCTTCCAAATGAAAAGTGAGAGAATGTCAGAATCTTGCCTTTCAAAAAATGCCAGCATGAATGATGACATCTTGAAAAGAAGACATTTCTATTTTTTACCCTAAATATATCACTGTTGAAACTAATAGCTTCAGATAGAAAATAAATAAATAAAAACTCCTTGACTCTGAATGACAGAGGTATCCTCAGTTCCTGAGAGAGAACTGATTTTTTTTTTCTTACTGCCTCTAAATGCATGAATTTACATACAACCATACTATACTAGGTTTATAAGTCTGTTAAAAATGATGTATGAGGGTCACATTACATTTTGAAAAGACCACAAGCGGAGAAAAAGGGCACAGAATGGGAAAGAGACAAAAAATGGGGTCATTATCTGTGAAAACAGGCCCAGATTTGGCAAACAAAACTCAGCCCAGAAAAACATGTACTTCTGCATACACAGAAACATGCAGCTTAATGGGGCTCATGTGGGCATTAGGCTGGCTTGGTGAGGAATGTGGCCAACAGACTGAAACTGGAGCAAAAAAGGAGGGAGATCTAAATCAACTTCAGAAATGGAGTTTAGAGAAATAGTAAAGAAAGACGTGTTTGTTTTGTACAGAACTGAAAACTAGCACTCAGGAAACATTCCCTTTTATCGTTGGTATGTTTACTCCACACCCCAAGCTTAGTCAGTGGGCTTGGAAGCCCCCAGAATTACACATAAAAATCCCATGTGCCATCCCAAGTTAAATACAAGAAGGCAGCACAGCAGCAGTTTAACACAATATTCATTCAGCTATTCCATGGGCTTTCTGTCGGGCCATCGCTGAGCTGGGGCGGGCGAGCTGAAGTACCTACAACACATCCAAAGCACAGCCATGTAGGGACACCCATTGTTTGCCACACCTTTGGGAGCCTGAGCCTTACCCTTCATCAGCAGAAGCTTACTAAAGCACAGCCTGCACTCAGTGGTGCTTTTTTCCACTTCTTTCCATGTCAGATCCCACTGTACCACCCAGCTCCCCATGCTGTGCCTGCAGTGGGGTGCCCCCTTCCCTGCAGCAGATGGAGCCCCTGCATCTCCAGCAAGCATGGCTGGATAAGGGAAGGCACAGGGGTGTGCTTTTTCCTACAGTCCTGTTTTATCCCTGTGGGCCTGTAGCAAGGCGAGGTGCTTTGCAAGCACAGAAAAGTGCAAGTGCCCTGCAGTGTTTTAGTACCGCGTCCTGTTGCTTGGCTTTACTGGCTACAGCCAGCGAGTGACAGCTGCATTTGCAAGTAAATCAATGGGACTTTTCTTCAGACAGTCGCAGCTGGCATATTTTTCCTCCTCTGCACTTTTTGGTAAAAGGAAATTGTGCCACTACCTGCACACTGCAATCAGGCCTTCTAGAAGAAAGAGGAGATGTGCTAAAAGTTTACGTCCCTGCATAACGCTTCAGAAGTTGTTTGCCTTCCAGACACGTGACTCCCATGCAAACCTTGAGCTAAACCTTAAGGTTCAGCTCCTGTTGTTGTTTTATAACATTTGTATGTTTTGGCTCCTCTGTAAACTTCAGAAACTGCAATCAAAGGTGTTGCAAGATGTACTTCCCCTCTGAAAGAGGAGACTGCAAGCAGGAACACGACCTCCTGCCCCTGTGGTTGCTGCACTGCCTGGCAGGTGGAGACTTGTGGTCTGATCCCTGTCTCAAGGACTCAGTACAGTTTAGTTTCCAGGCCAGGGAACTTTCTATTCTCCTTTGAGAAGTGTATCGACTACCACAGGAACTGGAAAAAGTGGCCAGCACAGTGCCAGGGCTCCTCTCTCTTGGGAGTGTTAGCTAGCAGTCACTGCTGAGGGGCATGGTTGAACCTTCTGTCTAGTTGAAATCAAGGGGAGACAGGACAAGGTGCAGGAGATACAGCAAGCTCAGGCATAGCTAGCAAAGAATATCTAGAAATATGAACAGGGAGATGTGAAATCTACCTTAGCCTGAAAAAAAAAAAAAAAGCATTCCAAAGAACATCTCTAAGAATGTGCATTAATCCATCCTCTGCAGTAACCTTTTGCTCAGATGTCCCCTACCTGTCACTGTTTCACTCCTTACACAACATCCTTTGGTGGTGGTGTTTTTTTTCCCCCCTTTACATATCTGGTCCATCAGCAGCTTTCAGCCACAATTCCCTGATGTCAGTGCTGGCTGCTGGGGCTGGGGGCAGGTCCTGGGATGGAGGGAATTGAACACCACTGATTCAATTAGCCTCCTGTGACTCACGGCGCAGAGTAGTGCCAGGAATTGATGGGCTTGGGAAAGTACTTAGTTGTTCTAATCAGGAAGGAGCAAATCCCAGGAAGCCCAGCAGAGCATATGAACATCAAAGAGGCCAAGAAAGCCAGGCTGGCCAAATCCCAGTACTGTGGAGGCGAACCCAAGCAGCCTCGCAGAACTCTGTGGAACCAAAAAAAAAACTCACGGTATTTTCAACATCTGCATAATCCAGTCAGACAATAAATTATTTGTCATCTAGTTGCAGGGAGCTGATTCTAAAAATGAAGTCTGGGAAGCCATTGGACAGCTTCTTTCTAGTTTACTTTTCTTCTTTGTTTTTAGATGTGCATGGCTTTGAATACTGAAGGCACTTTTTTAAAAAAATACACAAGTATCTGAATAAATACTCTTCTTCTTTTAACACAACTGTTTTGTTTTGCAAATCATAGACAAAATATCAAGTATTTGTATGCAGTAAGCGTAACATTTTGTGGAGTTGCTAGTATATATATTATTTCCAGACTAGGGCTATTTGTTTGTCTTTCAACATATCTGTTACTGTAATAGAAGCTATGGATCTTGTATTCATGCTGCAGAAGACAATATAAAAAAGAAGCGATTATTAGAAATTTTATTCTTTGTAGCTACAGATATTCCATCATAATTCAGGTCAACAAATCCTGCAGTTCCCCCAGAAAAGGAAAACCAGCTGTCCTCAGCCTGAGAGAAATATTTTCATCTACATTTTCATAAAGAAGAAGAAAAAAAAAAAAAGAGAGAGAGTAAACTTGATGAATGAAGGTGAATAGCATAGAAAATTGAATAGTGATAGGATATGTTGCAGAGCAAGAAGTTTTGACCTGGTGGTGGTGAATTTCCTTCTTCTTTTGGTGTTTCAACTAAGGTCAAATATAGTACAGATGAATTTAAGTCAGCACAAGAGTATGAGCTCACAGGTGGTCTACCACACCATTTGACTTTGACATGTACGTTAGCTGCTAAGGAAGCTATGCAAAAGTCAGAATCTATGACTATTTACATCAGCTAAAGAACTGGTTCACCACCATTAAATACTATCATCATTTTGGTTTTGGTACAAACTCACGTGTCAGATAAGTAAATAAAGACTTATACGAGTGGCTTGCTTTTTCCAGTTCCCTGCCCCACAAAATAGTAACTACAGTCCCAGCAAAGATTTCACCAGGAGCACTGCAGTTCCAGAGTATTCATTTTCCCCAGGTATTCTGACAGCTTGTTTTGTGTTCACTGAGGTAAACATGAGGTTACTTGTGATAATGAATGAATCAATGAATCTGAGGAAACAAGTAAATACAATAAACCCAATGGACTGGAACAGCAAAGCTGTCTCATTGAGTAAGAAGATAGAATCTGTGAAGGAAAAATTGTTAATTTTCCTTCGGCTTGAATTGATGATTTTTGGTTAAGAAGTGGAATGTATTTTTTTTCTGTATTCTAACCAAGGTTCAAGAAGAGCTGAGACTGGAAAGAGGATCTGCTAATCTTGAAATGATGTCTGTCTTCAAACAACTTCAGTGTGAAACTGCAGGGCATAAAAAGCAAGGATCATAAACCAGAAGCAAGGTGGGAGCAATCCTGCCCAGCTCAGGGCTGGTCGTTGATGCTGGTGTTAAAATAACACCCTGGATGAGTCAGGCATGCGCTTCCTCTCCATCGTCCCTCCCCACCAGGCTCAGGTCTGGCAATCTCCACCCACAGCCCTATTTTTATAACCATTTATTGCCCCAATAAACATCGCCTCACCATCATCTATTGCTAACAGTCCTCACTCATAGATATTTCACTGACATCAGCATAAACTTCAGCCAAATATTTTTTAATTCCAAAGACAGCTTTAAAGTTGGTTTTGCTGTAGCAGTTATTCTTAGGAGAAACAGCTATTCTTATGTACTTTATAAAGGCTAACAGGGCATGTTAGTGTCGGTAGTTGCATTTTTAACCATCATCAGGATCAGCGGGTTTATGAACTGAAAAAACAGTGGTCTGGACTTTACTCTAGAAGTCAGAGGAGGAAGGCTCCTTTTCACTGTGCTGGTACTTGTGCAGCTTGCCTGTGCTGGCTGACTTATTTCATGCTCGGTTACACCCTGAAGTTCAATTTCTTGGATGACTCCGGATGCAGTGGCTTGTGTTTGACATATTTTGATATAACAGACATGCTATAAATAAATGATGCATGTATGCCTTCATGGATGAAAAGCCACTGCAGTCGCTATCATGTTGAAGAGGGGGAGGAGAGATCAGTGTATGGCTTTATTTCTGCAGCATGTGCCCTCCTGACCCCACTGGCTCCTCCACCAGCAGATGCATGTGCACCACAGAGGGGACACAAATGTGGGCTTTGGTGGGCTTCCAGGAGTCAAGCTGGTCATTCTCCATCCAGCAGACATTTGAATCAGTCTCTCATATAAGCCTGGTGTAGTATCGAGGTCTGACTAATAGCATGTTACCAATTAGCCCTGTTATTTATTATGTGAAACAAACAAAACTCAGGACTTCAAATTGAGAGTGGAGTAAGGAGGAGACGTGAATGGAAGCAAATACTCTTCAAAAGGCTCTTAGATGTTGCTAGATTTATTAACTTATTCCCTAAGTTTCCCTGCCAAAATAATGTTTGGCATAAGAGGATTGTTCTTTAAAAGGTTACTGAATGAGCACAACGTGGCAATATTGGTTTTGAAATGGCTTTTGAAGAGCAGCCCGCTACTTTTTCAGTTGTGTTGCCATGGCTTTCTTGTTTGTTTTCTGCTGTCATTATGGATTTGTTCTGTTTTCTTTGGGTTGTTCAGTTTATGACATAATGATAAATATTTATGCTAGCAAAGCCCATTATCAGGAGGAAGTATGATCAAAAGATTAGGTACAAAATTAGGAGCCTGGAAACGGCATCTTCTTCCTCACAGAGATGACAATAAAGTCTGAATAACATCATGTCTTCTTACCTGTGTCCTCATCTGGTTTGTCTGCAAATCTTTTCATGGAGGACACCGTGGATACAGTGAACAACACCTACAATGAGCCCCGGCTCCAGCTGGAATTTCTACATGTTCCTGTTGTTACTCCTCCTAATACTGTCCTGACAGCATTCTTTTCCCAGCTGTGGAGGAAGAATCACATCTCAACTGTACCACAAAGGCAGGAATATAAGCCCTGAAGTATAAGAAATAATAAATTCAATTATACAGCTGTTTGGGTCAGAAGCTGCTAATTAAGACAAGGCTGCACACACTACTTAGCAAATTCAGGTATGTGGGAAATAAACCAAATGGAACAGGATGCTTAAATGCAAATATCTTACCAATCGGGAAGAATAGATGAAATAGTAAGATCTGTATTGAAGGTATTTGAAATTGAAGATAGAGAAACAATCAAAATACTCTCCTGACATTCATAAAAAGTATATCTATAAGACCTCAAATGAACAAATTAAACAAATGGAAAACAAGGGAAGCCATTGGAGGAAAGGGAAAGGAAAAAGGAAAGGGAAAGGAAAAGGGAAAATTGCAGCAAGATGAGCCCTAAATTCTCTTGAAGCCACTGATATTTTTTTCAGTATAATCTGGGAATGAGACAATTTCCTCCACAAGTGGAACAAAGATTAATTTCCTGGAAGAAGGAGACCTTATAAAGTGCAAGGAGAATTAGATTGACTTCAAGGAAGATAAAACATTTTTCTGCTTGTGGTAACAAGGTTGAGCATAATACTGAATAACAGCCAATGCTTTTAATACAGTTGAAAAAAATTTGGAATTTCATGATGTCTCAGAGATAATTTTCAAATAACATATTATTTGTACTATTATTCAATTTTTCAAAGTATTATTGACATTTCATATTACATTTTTTTTCTAGTGCATTAGGTAAGTATATGGAAAAAAATAGCAAGAGAGAGACAAAGAAAGGCCAGATTCCACTTGTGCCAAGTACTGGCAGCAAGAAGAGAGGTGTCTGTAGATTCCAATTATACTTGTTCTTCTAATGCCCGTAATTATTTTGATATGGACAGAGAACAGCAAATGACTTCTAAACGTACATTTTTTTAAAAGTCTGAAAAAAAAAATACAAAAAAGGCAGAGCCAGGTAGACTCCGAGTGACCCAAATAAGCAGTGGAGGTTGCACACACATCACCTGCGCAGCCTGGTAGTAGAAGGCCTCCAACCTTCAGGCTACTTGTCCAGACCATGTGCCCTGTAGTCAGTGGGTTCCCCTTGTATGGCAGCGTGCCATCATCTGCTGGGATTTCCTTACTTATTTCTGTGACCGAAGTGCTGAAAGTTTCAGCTTTTTTTTTTTAGATGCCACCATCTTACTCTGGCTTTGTGGAAAATACTTAGAAGTGTCTGTTTAAAACCTAAAAATCTATTGCTTAAAAATAATACTTAAATAACCAGGTAGTTTCTTCAGACTATATTTCCATTCTTCTTTTTTTCCTTTCTACTTTTGAACATATTTAGCCTTCTTACTACCTACTGAATAATGTAATGGATATAATAGGAGCTGGTAGATTTTTGATTGCCATCTGCAATCCAAATCTGGCCTTTTGCAGCAGCAAGAGTGTTTGGTATAGTTTAGTGCAGGCGAAGGCTGTTGGACAAAACACAGGGGAGGACAGCAGCAGGATTTCCTGCTAGATGGGGGGAAAAAGGAGGGAACCAGGAGAGCAGCATTCTCTAGAAATAATTCTTGCATTTCCTCTTTAAAAAATATGACTGGGTCTATTACTGTAAAGGGAACAATGTGCAATGGAGAGCAGGGTTCAGTGCCTGGATGGGCAGAGAGCTGGCATGCCTCTCCATCCCCCAAATTTCCAGAATGCAAACTGGCTGATGTGCACCTGCACCAGGACATTTCCCTGCTTGGTGCTGCTTGGCTTGCTCTTTTGTACGGTCAGCTGTGGGGGCCAGTGGAGTGGCTGTGTGACTGCTCTCCCTCGCCCACCTCCCAGAGGTACTTGGCCTCTGCTTCCAAGGCCATCTGGGCTCACCAATGCTGCAACAGCAGAGCAGAGGCAAAGAATTTAACAACTGGATCTCTTCCTACTCAGTGCAATGAGTATGCATCGATGGCATGAGTTAGCTTTATACCCTGCGGGTATAACACAATGAGATATTATTCCCCTTGTAGATAACATCTGGGGCAATGTTAAAATCTGTTAATTGTCATAGAGTCACGCGCTAGCAAGGTGATTCAATTGTTTCCCTACTGGAGACTGCTGCCTGGTCCAAGGTCACTGTAGCTCTTTCAAAACAACTCATCTGTTGGCTTAATCATATTGTTGTTTCCCCTCTTTTTGGAAAGGAGTTGCTTCATTTGGCTTCATGGGAAAACATGGTTTCAGCAGAGAATGAGCCCCAAGACAAAAAGCGTAGAGAGTTGTTATTTTCATAGTCTTAGTTGTGGCAGACATTAAAAAATCTTTGCCCAGAAGAACTTTGACATTTTTCAATTCAATTATACTTTTCACAGAGGAGTTCTTCAAACACGAAAAGCTAGCGGGTAAGAGCCTGGTAACAGCAACTTTCTGCTGCATATTTCCCCAAATGGAAAGCTGTAGCAAAGGGCTCTTCTAACATATACATGTACATACTTCCATTAAGTCCAGTTGCAGAGTGCTGCCAGCAGCTGCTGTGTTCAGACGGAAGCTAAGGCTGAGGAAAGAAGTAAATCAGAAACAATACTCCACTCCAGTGAATGAAGACAAGTTTTTACCTTGAAAAGCTTTTTTTTTTTTTTTTTTGAATTGATGCTTTGATGAATAGAAATCCAAACACATTCCTTTTGCCCTGCAGAATTTAGGTTAGGTAATGAACACCAGAGAGTTTTCATTGATGGCCTTCCTGTACAGTCTTACACTCTTTGAATATTGCAGTAGTTATTCCAAGTGTTTTTTTTTTTTTTTTTTCTTCTCCCAAGGGCAAATGGCATACAAACAACAAACTGGTATCTAAAATAAAAGACACTTGAGCTAGCATGTAGTTTGTGTAGTGTTTTGCTCAGAAAAATAAGTTTTTTTTGCTAACAAAGGGAGCAAAATAAATATGCAAGTTCCAGGCAGTTGAGATTGCTTTGTAGAGCCTAAATAAAGCTTGCTCGAGGGAAGAACCTTCTGTTACAGACAAAAGAGTTAATTCACCAAAGCTATGGAAAGAACTCTCTTCCCCAAATAAAAGACCTAATGACCCCTATAAAGAGAGCCATATTGTGATGCTGTAACTTGATTATAGGGAAAGAGTGTCTTTGTGTCTTTTAGTCTTTGCACTAACAGGAAAACAAGGTGTTCTGCAATAAATAGGAAAACTTTTTCTAAAGCTTTATGGTCTTCTGCGCTATTTTACAAAATAACCTATCTGCTACTCACCACAAAAAGCCACAATTAAAGTGAAGTGATTCATCCCTTTTCAAATGTCAGGCTGGCAACAGGGTTAGAAACGAGGCAGCCAAGAAATTGCTCCTTTGAAGCAAGCAAATGGAAGGCTCTTATTTTAAAGCAGTTGCTGTATGTTCAAGGAGATGGGAACGTATCTTCCAGCAGGACAAGTGGCTTCAGGCCAGCCCACAGATGGCCCTCACATGGGTGTGCATGGGTAGGGACAGCTGCCCCGAGTGACGGAGAAGATTGGCCTCTGTACTTTAGAGATGACTGAAAGAAAACACACAACCGAGCAGAATAAAGAAGGAAATTAAGGAAGTAAGCTAGGCTTGCCTGTTCTTAGAGACTCAAAAATGATTGGTAGGGGTGTTCAGTGGGTGTGTGGTTTGTGTTTGCCATGTTTCAGAGGAGATAAATATTCACACAGTGACTGGTGGAACTCACTACCCCAAGATATTTCAAGAAGATTAGCATGACTTAAAAAAAAAAATAAAGTAACATTTATTTTTATTGAAAGAATGATCAGAACTTTTCAAAAACAGGCATCCCTCCCTACCCAAGAGACTAACAGGAAGGGAAGGGAACTGTTGTATTTCAGAGCATAAAACTAGGAAGAAAATGCCCATTGGGAGGGCAGGTCAAGCAAATAGCTGCGATGTAGAATTTTTAACTCCCTCCTCTAATGCATTTCATACCCACCACTTTTTAGGAAAATTAGAGTTGATGGACCATTATGTTTAGTTCCTGTGACTCTTGGGAGCCAATTTGTGTTATACTGTGGAAGCTTTTTTACAATTACTGACAGCAGTAATGCTGTCCCTGGTAGCTGTCTGTTGTTTAAATGAAGGGGATGAGATCTATTAAAAATTTGGTTTGATTTTATAAAGAGGTGATATATTTGCTTGAAAGTAAAAATTCCCTATACCTGCCTTTCTCACTTGCTTTTAGGATGAAAATGGAAAATTGGATGCTGTAAGTAAAGAGACAAAACTCCATGAGATTGCTGGGCTGCTCTTTGGCCTCGGCTATGCTTGCACACTTGTTACAGGCTCAATGCAGAATGACAGTGTAAAAGAAGTCCCTACATTTTGTGGGGACTTAGACAGGAACACCTCCAAGTCTTTTCCTTGGTGGCTTTTGTATATGAGTATTTGAGGACCACTTCTGGACTGAGCAGGTGCCTTGAAAGGGTGAGGACAAAGAACAGGAGCGAGGGCAAGGCATCAGAGACCTCTCTGCTCTTCCTTTATGAATGTGTACACACCATGTTTCTTGAGAAACCTTGAAAGAAACCATAAACCTTCTTGTAGTGGGGCTGTCAAAAATTCAACAGTTACAATTTTGTGAGTCTCTATGTGCACTTTTCTCTAGGTACTGCCTAGCAGTGGCATATGATCATGAAAAAACAAAGGGGAGGTGAGATTCACCAGTGAATCCTCAGGGTGTGTGCCCTGCCCCTGGCTGCCGGCACCCAGCCATCCATGCACAGGACACCTCTGGGACTCCAGGACAAGAAAAACTAATACCCAGTTCCGCATGAGGTTTTTGTTGCTGTTTTGTTAGCTCACTTCTGATTTGGCAGTAAAAATATACTTTAGATCAATTAGGCTTTCCCTCAGTGCATTTCTGCCTTGTTCATCACTATGTCTATTTCCTGGTGAAATTCTTGCTATCCAGCACTAAAGCAATCCTTCACAGGATGAATTTATCTGGTGTGGGAGTGAGTGTCTGTCTATTGCTATGACAATCTGTCCCTGCCTGTATTTGCAGAGAGGGATA